GGTAATTTTTAATTTATTTTTATTTGAAATATTTTGTAGAAAAATGTGATATATGTGGAATCATGTTATTATTCAAGGTCTCTTTTGTACCTAATAGCATTTAAGTAAATTCTTCTAATAATATTCTAACATTGTATTCTTACAAAAAACTGATACAAGTATACAAGTATTCTGCAAAAATCCTGAATCTTATTCATCTCAAATGAAGCTAATTGAACCTGTTCATAACTATTCAATATTTGTCGTCAAGTAAGTATATTTATAAAATTTGTGTAAACAAGATATAAGAATAAGAAAACTCACATCAATTCTGATTATTTATCAATATGCTAGAAAAAAATCATTTAAAATTTTCTTCCAAAACTTGATTTTTTGCTCAAACGGTTAATATATTAGGGAGCAGTGCAGGTCGTCATATATAAAACCATAAAAACAACATGCACACAAATACGAGGCAACATTTTATATGGAGTCGTAATTATTTTTATGAAATCAATTTTATGCATTTATGTAGGTACAATGTTTACATAACATGTTTGCACGGTGTATAATAAACGAACGTAATATACAACAAGCTGTGCTTTACGATATATAATAATGTTTATAGCATTGTCCGATTATTAATTTTATATTGGATAATAAGATATCAAACTGTTTCAATTTGTAACTTTAAAGTTTCATAAAAATAGTTTTTATAATAAAATATTTCTGGGGTTTATTAAAACGATCTTAAAGTAACCTAAATTTAGACAAATTAGTATGAAGGAGTTAGAGCCTTGCCGTAACAGTTATTTTTTGAACTACTATATTTGAGTTCCACTGTTTGTATTTCTAGAAAATAAAGATAAATAAATGTGAATAAATTTTACTGGTGATATTTACTTAAAGTTATTTCATAAATATTATTCATCATTTTACAATTAATTATTTTTCATAAAAAGTCTCTTGCCATTTTACCCCTATTTTGGGGCTAATTGTAACTTCTACCGTGGCGAGTAGAAAGAGGTTGTTCCAACTAATCCCAGGTGTGATTTTTTTTAATCAAGATTTATTATAATTGATACACATTATTGAAAATTTGATAACTCAAACCGTAATTTCATAATAATGCAATTTTATATTACATTTAAAATATGACGGACCTGCACAGTTCTGTATATTGCGTCGGCCTACGAAACAGTAGCTATGACAATATTATGCAGGGGGTTCCTAAGATATCGAGATAAAAAATATTTTTTTAATATCAGTCAAGGCCATATTGAAAATTGCTTGTTACTATTTACTCCTCTTACATAAAGCTTTTAGCTTACCTACATATGTATAAATGTATATGAAGTAATTATATTTTAGATGAAAATATAGTTTGACCTACTGCTTTAGTTTTCACCTTTAAAACTAATTAAATGAATATTGGTGATCCCGTGTGTGCAAAATTCGATTTAATTGAAGCTTTATAAATATTAGTTTGAATTGATATTTAATTGATTTATATGATGCAAAATAAATTATAAAAGTTGAAAATATAAAACTAATTATTTGCTTCTGTGTCTCATACACCATTATTTATTATTTGTAATTTTAAAATGGTATTTATAATTAAACTTAATAAACTTTTTTATTTTTATTATTTATCATATTCTTGGTGAAAAGAGTTTGAAAAGATATTTTGACCTACTGCTCTAGGTTTTACTTTTAAAACTAATTAAATGAATATTAATGCTCTTTTGTATGCAACAATTGTTTTAATTGAAGCTTTATAAATGTTACTTTTACTTGATATATAATTGATTTAAATTATGTTGAATAAATCATAGAAGTTGAATCTATAAAATTATTTGTAATATGTCTATCTGCTTTAGTACCCCATACAGTATTATTTATTTTTTGTAATATTAACGTCTTATTTGTAATATTAAACTTTGTCATTTTTATTAGTTGTCATTTTCTTAAAATTAGTGAAAAGAGTTTACGTATATTAAAACATATTTTGACTTAACTGCTCTAGATTTTACTTTAAAATAATTAAATGAATATTGATGATCCTTTGTAAGCAAAATTTGAAGTTTTATAAATGTAAGTTAGAATTAATGTATAGTTGATTTAAATTATGCTAAATAAATAATAAAAAATAAAACTATAAAATTATTTGTAATATATCTATCTGCTTTTGTGCCCCATACAGGGGTACTAATTTATAATTTATATTTACTAAATTAACACGTAGGCAACTCAATTGGTTAATGGGCTAGAAATCACAAGTCACAATAGAAAATAAACTCGTCATATAAAAGTCAATTATTAAACCAATATAGCTTATGGTCGATAACGATATGGTCCTACGGCCTACAACTATGAGGTGCGGCCAGTAAATCGAACATAACTATTCTACAAAGGTTCCAAAATAAAATTTTGAAAGAAATCGTGAACGCTCCAAAATACGCTCCCAATTGGTTGATACATCAGGATTTTCCGAATTCCAACTATAGAAAAAGAAATTAGTCTTTACTGCTCCAGATACAAAGCTCGTCTAAGTTGTCATCGAAACGAATTAGCGTGTGATCTGCTTTACCACCTAAGCGTCTCAAAAAGAAAAATCTGCAATGAATTTTTACAAAATATCACTTAACACCTAAGAAGGTGCTATCGCTGGATAGCGATCCTTCTCACGCAGTCAAATAATATATATCTGAAATAATATATAACTGAATGTACTGTGGACAGTTTGCTATAAAAAATAAACAAAAAAGAAGTACTAAATGATTTTGTATTGAGATATTAAAAAACATATCTTGAACAGTACTATTTAACAGGAATCAAACACAAAACGTCATATGGGCTATTTTGTGTATTATTACATGGGTTTGTTTCGAATAATTAAAATTGTCATTTTGGAAAGTTACAAATTACGAGGCTGCCAATAGCAAGGAGGTGAACCTGAAGTAAACAAGTCGCAGCTTTAGGTGTAAAAGCTGTGTAATCAATTAAAAGTTTTTTAACCAAACATATATGGCAATATTACTGTTGATCAACAGCAACAAGCAAACTAATCCAGAATTTTTCAAATTAGTTCGAATAAAAAAGTCTTAATGAAAAAACGCTCGCGAATGCAAATACCAGCGCTTGAATTTAATCATTTTCTCCGAAGCGAAACAATCTCTTCAATCAGGCAAAACAAATTTACATTGTTTTTATATCCACAATTTCGGTACATGTGCATTTACACAAACAAACAAGCGCGAGCACGTGTGTGTTTAATCAGAAGTATGATCGAATGGCTTTGCAATACACCTGCTACGAAAATGTGTGCGCTACGGATAGTGCCTACGCCCTCGTCGCCCTCGTCGCCCTACTCTAGGTAAGCGTGCGCCGCACCGCCACCGGCACCGATGCGTCGTCCTCGGGTTGGGGAAATTGTTTGTATGGATTATACGATTTAATTGCCAAGTAAATCATGTACAAGCTATAAAATAATAATTGCTCCAAATGGAAATTCGTGCGTCCCGCGCGGTGCGAGGCGAAACGGCGTTGGAACCGATACACTTGTATATGAAGACACGGAAAATAAACACACATGGAAACAGATGTATATACAACAATATATATATATATATATATATATATATATATATATATACTAGATGACCCAACAGACGTTGTCTTGTACCTACGTGCCCACGTCTACATTCAAAAGTTCCAAATTTGTTAATATCCTATTTAATATCCTGCCTCCCGCTATACGTCTTGGAAATTGCAGTCTTTTAATCAGTATAAAAAATATATATAAAACAATAAAAAAGAATTCACTTGTTTCCATGTTTCCACATTTTCTTTCTGATTACTATGTTTGTTCATTCAAAACCACTATTGTATGCATTGACACGCTCTAAAATTATTTATCCAAATTTGAATAGCCGTTTAGAAGTAGTTTAGTGACAACACATGTGTAGTAGGTATATATATATATATATATATACATATATATACATAAGATAAAATATCTTTGTGAATTTACTAACAATTATTTTTTTGTTGTAAGTAGATATATTTTCTTGAAATGTTAGTAGCCAATAAGTCGAAAAAAAGGCAATGAAAGAAATTTAATCTGTGAGTTTTGATACTAGATATGTATAATATTTCCTTACCTCATACTGAGAACACAACAAAAACATATAGTTTTAGAACAGTGACTACATATCAATAACAACTAAAAGTTTAAATTATAAAGTTAATATTTTTACTTATTGGTTGCAGGTATCTTATAGAAATTTAATAATTATTATTCATTGATTTATTATTAATAAATAATGAATTGATAAATTAGTATTATATTACCATTATAAATGGTTATATTATTACAATTATAATCGGCAAAAAATTTAAGAAAATCTAATGGTTTTTTATTTGGCCTTATTAACTAGAGCATTAGCCAAAACCAAAGTTGTTTGTAACGTTTCATAAAAATATCATATTTAGAGTAAACAAAAATTTATAAACAAGGCAGCAATAAAATAATAAAAATTAAGATAGAATAATGAATCCCGACGATAGTTACAAGTATATTTATGTATCTCATACAAATATCAAAACAATAATAAACTATATTTTAATAAATTGATTTCCACGTGTAATAGTAAAATATAATTATTATTTAAAAAGTATTATTACATTATTACGTTTATGTGTTCATGATCAATAAAGTTTAATACCAATCTTGGCTTAAGATTTAGGATAAGAATTGCTTTTTATATGGGGCAACTGCATGTTGCTTATTCCAGATTTGGAAAACCACATAGTTTTTATATCTACGCAGCCAGTGGAAAATAAAAAAATGTATCAACAATTATTGCTAAATTTAAGTATAAAAACTTTTATGATTTTTTTTAATTAGTTTTATATCTCAACTCTCAACCATTCAATCAAAATGTGCCACAGCAAAATGTGACAGGGCACAACTAGTATATATATATATATTAAATTAAAATTGCGGTTCATCCACTAACCTGGTCCATTATCTGTACTGTGCATTTCAGGAAGTCTTCGGCGGGCCCCTACACATAGGGTTGACACCGCCTGACCAACATGGCGGAGACCAATTGTGAAAACGAGTCGAAACTTCTGTAAACAAATAACAATGCATTTAATTGTTTCTGCTTCGCATACAATTTATGTTTAATTGAAGATGTTAATTGTGTTTTAATCGCACGAACGCGGAGCAAAATATACGCGCGTGTTAAAAACGCCAGGGAATATACAGGAGAAGATATATATATATATATATATATATATATATCGGCTATTATGTATCTACAAATATCCAACCACTTCTTAATAAATTAAAATACAAATTTAGATACCAGAAATAATCCATTTTCAATTAAATTAATTTCTTATTTTATTAATATCAATATCATTATTGTTCATAGAAGCATTGGTATTAATAATTGAAATATTTTGCACTTGTATTACTAGGTAACTTAAATCACCTAGTACTCACAGTAGATGAATCCGTATAAATATCTATTGACGATTGCTTTTGAGTACCTTCTAGAAGAAAATTTATTTATTTATTTATTGAACAGAAATGCTTTAATTATCGATGAAATAAAAACCAAAAATATATGGTAAAAAATTGGTACAAATCCTGAACAACAACCAAACAAATACTTTGTAACTACTAATTACTTTCAACTTGTTATTACATAACCGGTAATATGAATTCTCCATCTCTCATATTTCTGAGAATTTAATAAAATTGCACAAGTTCTATATTTTAGTTTAACAAAGTATATATTAATTAGTACAATATTAATTTTCTTTTCATAGAATCCACGTCAGATTTTAATTAACAATCATTTGTCTTGCCGTCCACCCTACCACTGCTCAATAGGTATTCATCTAATAATAATGTTTGTTTTAAAATTCAATTAAGATTAAATTAACAAATCTGTTCTTGATTCACTTAGAGGGAGTTTGACGCTTGAGGGATTGGGTTTTGCGAACGACGTGGAAATGGGCAGGGTTGGCAACCGCTCAACCGAAATATCGATATATAACTTGAATTAACTTACTTAATTGAGGAATAAATAATTAATATACGTTATTGTATCTTACTGTCCATGTGATATATATATATATATATATATATATATATATATTTAATACAATTCATATTGATTACTACCTGTTATATAAATAAATTCCTACATAAATATAAGAATTTTTATGTTGCTCATATTTGCTTATTGATATATATATATATATATATATATATATATATATATATATATATATATATCATTAAAATTATGTAACTAAATTCATTAAAAAAAATAAAAAATTACACACATTTTGTAGTTTTCTTTTAAAAAAAATGTGATTCTGGAGATCATAATCAGGATCATGAAATTGTTATATATAAATAGAAAAGTTTATTTTTGTTTAAATTGTGAAATTCATTCCAGGTTATTGAATTGCTTATTTATGAAGAATCTACCCAAAACAAACTCAATCAAATTTATGAATATAATTAAAAATATAATATTGAATTCGAGACTTAAAAAATTACACAAAACATCAGATAAATTATATTTGATTTGTGAATTCTTATTATATTAATTGAAAATTATTTTCAAATATCTGAATATAATCGATAATTTTTATGATAAGTAAAAAAAATCTCTTTGAATAATAATCTTATACTAAATATGAGAACTTATATAAGTATAAATCGAATCTCAGCTTGTTTTAATGCACAATTAAAATACATAATTTTTTATTTAGTACTTTTATATCACAGAATAAATTTTAAATTATATACATGGTCTATAAAAATCTAATCTTAACTAACAGTTTCAATAACCAGACACAAGATTCGGCAATTTTGATTAGGTGTACAAATAAATTTCCATCGATTTAAAATATAAATATGAAAGATGAATGTAATTATCCAGTGAAACGCGCCCAGTTATTGGTGTTCTATAAACGCATTTTATGTAAAAAATATTTTAAATAAAAAATCATGAATTGTATCGACTATAGTAATAAATAATAATATTTAAATTATTTATATGACTGATATAATGATCTCACATGACTTTTTTTACATTTATAATATTTTTTTTCTTTTTCATATTTTTCCTCATTTTCATTCTAAATTATTTCAACATTTTTTTGCCGAAACAGAAATTCAGGAAGCAAAATACTATTTATATCAACAATATATAAAATATATTTGCTTTACAACTGTTGCGTCATAGTGCTACTGTTCGAATATTTCAGCCGAATATTTTTTAATCATTGATTCAATGCAATTCTCATCCCTCGCCCCGTCATCGAGAAACTCCAAAGCCGTTCCATTTAAATTCATTAGTGTCTATTGTGTATATCGGCGTGGTAAACAAGACATGCACTAGATCCTCTAATTAAAGCTCGTGTTGTTTCCACGTATCGAAGTGGGTGGGAATGGGTGGCCATGGGTGCTAGTGGGTGCCAGTGGGTGGCAACGGGCGCAAAATGGGTAGTAATGTGCCCCACGTATTTCGTGAAACGGGAACGCTCTGGCTTTAATGGGTGGTTAGTTGTCGATATAGAATGTCGGAATGATCCCATCTCGTGCAATAATCACTCAATTGCATCTCGATTGATATCAATGCTAACTGCTTTCGAGTTATTGATTTATATATTTATTGGTTTCGTTTTAGATAAACCTTAGCTTCTCAACTTTTCAAAATTATAATAAATTTTGATAGATTTATTTTTGCTACACTATCACTGACCTGCATTTCATTAATTAAAATAAAATCAATCAATAAATATAAAAATCAATAATTTATTTTTTTTATCAGAAATAATACAATTGTGTAATAGATCTGTTTCTAAGGTATCTTAACGCTTACCGGACGGCTGTCCACCTGAGTTGTATATGAACGGATGTTTTATATGAACAATGACTCACTTTGCATTAAAACTGTTGGCTAAAATAGATCAAGGATGAACAAATTGCGGCCCGTAGAATTCATGGAGCTTTTTAAATATTTTTATGCTCCCGCTAAGCATTTGTAAAGTAGAATTTTATTTATAATTTACTCTTGACTCGTTCAATTAATTTATGAATTATTTACTTTTCTAATTTAACATTTTTATATTATAATATTTATTAGTATACATAAAGTATTGTAAATTTAATACGAATTCCTTGTTGAAAAAGTTGCTCATATTAAGACTAAATATATGCAGTGATAAGACAGTGTTTTTTCGAAGATTTACTATTAGTGTTTTTACATATTTGTTGTTGAGCTGAAACTTCTCCTTACTTCGTATTCTTAGATGGTAACCCAATGGTTAATCCATCCATATTTAATGATTTTTTATTAATAGAATTTTTATAATAGGGCTGACATTTTTTTATTGGAGTTGCAATGCCAGATTAAGGGCTATTTTCTTTTCTTTTATTTTAAAATATATATATTGCTTTCTACATTGCCAAGTGAAAATTGTTATCACTGCTGCCTGACGCACGTGGGTTGCTCGAAGTGCGTAATTTTTCTTTTTTATTGTATTTTTTTTCTATTGCGGTAAACCGGCATAGCAATTCGAATAAAATGATATTTATCAAAAAGACAGTCATATAAAAACTTTATATTAGACATGCCTGAAAAATGAAAAAAATTGTCACGACGCTAATTAATTATAACGACAGTGGAATCAACACGTTATGTCCTTTGTAAATTGCTTTAAATTTTAACTTACTGTCGAAACAAAATTTGATATTGTAAATGTTCTTCAATGACCACAAATTCATATCAAACAAATTGCATAACTTCCACAATAATATCAAATTTCACGTTTTATTCGAAATGCTGCACCGAGTTGATGTCAGATTGTTTTTAAATCTGTGTCATTCGGGAAGTGTTCAATAAAATTTCAAAAGTTTCAATCAATCAAGAAACAATAATAAAATATTAATGAAAGAAATTGAACATTAGAGTGACGTATTTTATGTTTAATAAAATTACCGCAAAAATAAGAGTGAATGAATAAAATGAACAAAATATTATATAAAATATGAACATAATACATACATAAATCATTCTTAATCATATTAATATTATAATTCTTATTAATAATTATTTTCGTTAACTATTGTTTAAAAAAATTATAGTATGTGTTAAAAAATTAAAACATTGTATTATAACTGTAATAATATTAAGATATCAGTATTTTCATTTTGTTTGTTATTTGAGTTTGGGTCATATTGGAAAGATGTGTTTAAAATTTCTAATTATGCTTCTTAATTATTATGTTATTGTTAACAGAGAATGAATAATAAAATCTAAATAATAGAACCATAAATCAAGCTGAATATAAATAGCTAAATTTGTGAAATTAGTCATTATTCCTCGACTTTAATTATTGCAATTATCGATAAAATTAATAATTATAATGATTGGTGTGGCGAATTCTGCGTCCTTATCTTGTACGATTTATTACGCGTTACTCTAACAAGTTCCATTAATTAAGTATCTTATTGCTAATTAGTGTATCTCACAATTTATATGAAAACTGACTTTAGACAATATTAATTAGCAGTACTCGTTGTTTGAATATAAACTTTATGCACAATAAACAGAATGCACCCAGACAAACGTTAGATTGTGCTAATTATTTCTAGATACAAACACAAACAGCCACGCAAATTGGGCACTAACTGGATATATATATATATATATATATATATATATATATATATTGATATCAGGGCAGTGCCTTGTGATATAATCGCAAAGTATATTTGGCTGCCCTTCAAAATAATATGATAAAAAATTTCAAAATTTAATTTTTAACTCCTACATCATACTCCATACAAATGTATAAATATATATATATATATACGTATATATATATATATATATATATATATATATATATATTATAATCCTGACGGATTATCTGAGTCTATTATTATCACCCTGATATTGTACTAAAACTATCACATAACAGCAAAATTTTTTAATAATTCTGTATTATACGGTATATTACTAATAATAATAGTAGGTATAATTTATACCTGATTCAGATTTTATCGCCTTTATCAAAACAATTACACTAGCAACACTCAACAGCAAGTTTCTATTACTACTGAACTACTCTTTTACTACTACTTTTACTTAAAACTAGGGACATCTAGACTGACACTGATGGCATTTGGATTCAAACTATTACTACTTAATAACAATAGATAAATTTTATCATCATCTGGTAACAATTCAAAGTTTTGGCGCGTTTTTCACCTTATATAAGTGTCTCGAATAACCATATCTTATTTATTTTTGTTTAGAGCCTTTCTCATATTTTTCGCACTTTTCTTAACAACAATTAATTAATAATTGCAAATCACAAAATGATTTGTCATTAAGCTTCATAGGCTGGGAACCTATGAAGTGTTTACATGGCTTATCGAGAGGGGTACATCATGTAACGTTTTTTTTGTAAATTTACAATCGTCGTTCCAATGCTAAAGTACAGTTTTCATATTGATTTTTTATTTTTCACGATGAGAGGTTCCTTCTGTTTAAAAAATCAAATTTTTTGGGTACATTAGGTCGTGTCAGTTGGATATAATTAGCTTATAAATTAGGTATGATTATATTATAAGTTAGTTTAAGTGGATTAGGGCTGCAGAAATCGATACTTAGTAGTATTTACACCATATCTATTTTCATCTGAAATGTTAGATACGTAAATACGAATAAAAGTATCCATTTCTGTGGCGACACCACATTAAAAAACGCGCCTAGCAACTTTACCTCATGGGGCGGGAAAAAGTTGCACCCTAGTTATGAGCATAATTATTTAACTTAAAATATTTATTATTTTTCCAATCAATGTACAAACACTAAAAGTTAGCAATAATTTAAAAATTTATAAATATATATTAATATTAAGTTTATTAATAATTCTAAGATTAATTTATAAGTTAATTATCTAATAAGTATTTGTATTAAACAATATAAGAATGGCATCTGGCCGTATGATGTATGTCAAAAGCCAATAAATAAATAAAAAAAAAAACTTAAAATATTAAGAAAATCAATTCTTAAATAATTTATATAAAAGTATCTGTATATAATAATGTGTATACTATATATTATAAACTAATGTCAATGTTTTGAATAATAAAAATTTTCAAATTAATATATGTTTATTAATTAGTTAAATTCCTGTGATTTGTTTTACAGAAGTTTATAAAAAAAATATTAGATTTTTTTCAGAAACAAATTGATGATATATAATATAAGATATATAATTAATCTTTACTTGATATTTTATTTTTCATTAAACATATTTCTTTGACCGCTTTTATTGGCATTGAAAATGTAAGTAAAAAAGAAAATAAACTTTTCTGCTACAATTTACAGACTTTTTATGTTCATTAAAAGTTGTTTACTGTATTTAACTCAAAATTAAATTCTATACATAAGTCAAACAAATTTAATTGAACACTAAAGCATCTTAATTTATTTACGAGAAACCCTCATGGCATTTTAAAACAATAAGGATTCATTTACATGCTAACTCATAAAAAACGAACTTTTTTTTATCCCAGCCAAAAATTTCAGCCGTGATTTAATCCCTCCGATACTTTTATCGTTCGCAATTAAATCAGTTGGTGAATAAAAAGCTGTGTATTCGTAACGAGCGCACCAACAGCAATTAGAAAACTCTTTATTCCGGTCTCAATGGTGATAATTATCACACAAAATCAATGTCCATTATTCATAGCCGACCAGACCATTAAAATCGCATACATTGAAAATGCAAGCAGACGAACCCACCGACCGGCAATACACATGCAAACCGATGAGGTGTCAATTCCTCTGAGAAACACATAACAACGCGAACGCTCCATGGTGCTGGGAAAAGGGATTGATATCTCGATTTTATGGAATGAAACATCATAAAAATATCATACAAACTTGTATTTTTATTATATACTAAATTTCAATTTAATCCATAACAAGCAGCATATTTTGTCTATAGTCGGACTCGAGCTACTTATACTTAATTATACCTATATGCTACTGTAATTAACTATATCTTAGTTTCAAAAATTTTAATAAAATCGATAAATATTGCTATTATGTCTCAAACCCTAACTATTTTATAATATTTTTATTCTCATTAAAAATGCTTAGTTAAGCATAATAGGGATCCGTTGATCTATTTCTCATCACTTGTAATATTTCAGCGACAAAACTTACCAGAACTTTTTTGATGCCCAATATACTATAAAATTATTAAGTTATAGCAGTGGTGCATAATAATTATTTACACACATTACATAATTAAAATTGTGTAATATGTTTAATTAATAATGATTTTTGCAAGTGCTTTTTATCATAGCATAAAGTCTGCTACTAATTTTTAAGCCAAATTAATATTTCATTATTTATTAATAATCTTTGTAAGTATGTCTTGACCACATCATAAGTTCTGCTGCTCTAATTCAGTGTCAATTAATTAGTTTGAACTTTTTAAATTAGTCGATATTTTTTTTATTGTGAATGTAATTTACACCTGTCTTGTAGACATTAAGTAGATTTTATGAGTAATATTACAATTATTACAGCTTCTTTATTAAGAAGAAGCTGTCTGCAAATGAATTGTTAATTGAATTAGTCGATAAATAGTTCCTAGGTTTTACTTTAACCACACTGGTAAATTTAATATTTGTTTGTTTTATAGTAAAATCCACTTTTAGTTGAGAACCATTTCAAGATATTATTTGAAAACAAGATCCTTGAGCGATAGCAATATTAACAATAATAAAAAAATCGAATTAGTAATTTTTTTTAACATTATTTAACAGCATTCAGAACATATTGTTGTGTATGGCTGAAATTAGTAATTAACTAGACACAATTGTATCTTCAAGGAAATACCATCAAAGTTCTAAGTCAAGTTTCAAACTTATATTTTGATTGTATATCATTTATCTTAGGAATTTTCAAATTCTCGTTACAGAAGAGATTAAGTATATTTATATTACAAAAATGTAATACTACAAAAGACATTTAGTTTATTTTTGTACTAGTATGCACTAAAAATGAGTTTTAAAAAACTCAATATTCAGAATTAATATTAATTCAGTTTAGTTATACCAACTAACTTTAAACTTCCTTATAAATGTGTTAAGTATATTTATATTTTTAAAATATATGTACTGTGTATATATGTGCTAACAAAAAGCTAGATATTCAGAATTAATCAATATAAAAATTTCTTATAAATAAATTGAAATTCAAGTTAACATACTTTTTTAGAATTTTATTCATTGGTTATAAATAATAATGGGTACTTAGTAGGTGCTGCTTTAGGGCAGAACCTTGAGCTGACAATGAGTTGAACTCCAACTCGATCCAGGGAAGAATAGTGTGGGAGATTTTCCATTACTATTTTACACCGGAGTGGCATAAATGGGTAAATGAAAATTTTGGATCTAAATTTTTAAGTAAAAATTGATATCTCTATTGCATGATATCGGGTCCTCCACGATACTGTCTTGTTAAGGCTGTGCATTTATTCGTTACACCATGGAACACCCTTATTGGATATATTTTTTTTTTTAATAATTTTTTTATATAGATTTATGTTAGAATGAATTCTAACTTATTTTAACGACTGTGAAATCAAGTATGTCGTTTTCCCACCACCAAAGTGGTAAGGCACATCGCGTACAGTGGGTCCGCGTAACATCCTTACGGCTGGCTCTCGCGTTATATTGCCATATCTCTGCACACTTTGTAATAGGTGTGCCAGTAACAATTTAGTAAAAAAGTTTTCTTGGAATTTAAGAATCACAATCCAAAATCAAGTTTTCTTATTTAGATATCTAGATATCAAATATTTTATTGCATACGTGTAACAGAGATTCCAATTCTGTGGTAACATAGTCGATAACATACAGTTGTTATGACAACGCTGTCCTATCCTTCATTATTAGCACTAAAAACTGTAAAAATTCAGGCGTTTTTCATGCAGGCATATAAGCAAACTTAGATAAAATGTTATTATAAATGCATCTATATGATGCGCATTTAGAACAATTGGTTAAATAGACCAAAAAATACACATTTTGACAGTTTTCAGTACCAAGAAAGAAAGATAAGATAGCGTTACCAAAATTGCATTATGTTATCGGCTATGTCACCGCAGAATTAGCCTCTCAAATTAAATGATACTTATTAATCAATCACTATAATAATTAGAATTTAACTTGGAAATCATGTCAGAAAAGTGTAAAATTGTATTGAACTCAATTTTGAGGAAAGTCACATTATCATATTTTAGTTGTTATATACGATAAATATAGGACTCGTGCCATTCTGTATTACAATTTTAATTAATGTTATAGCATTCACAAACGCAAAAGTGTTAACTAGGTATATGATTTATTATTTACCTTAAACATGATTTTACAATATTATTAACAGTGAAATCGTAGGATTGAACTAAACAATTCATACAAAATGTTTGAAAGGTAAGAATACACACAATCTCCAATTAGAGCATAGGGTCACCAACCAGACTAAATCTAGTCTGGTTAATGCACCTAACACCTATTAAAATATAGTTGTTAGGTATACGTTATTTAATTGTTTTATAAAATATATTATTATTTTTAAGATGGACACATCCGTTTTTTATATAACCTCAATTGAAGCTTACATGTATTGGCAGGAGGGGGCGTAAGAACCTTCGACACTTTTGCATTGGCAATAAAACAGAGCTTCCAAATGAAAAAATTATTTAAGCAGTTATTATGATAAGCTTGAAACTTGATGCTTACAAAAATGACTATCCAACGGAGCTAATGGCATCATTCACACAAAATGTTCAAATTGCTCTTGAGGCTAAAAGTACCCAAAATCTCCAATTATTGCATCGAGTAATCCAGACTAAACATAAAATTCTCAATGTCTTAATTTTCCAGCTACCCGTCTATTACAGAGTACAACACATATAATATTCGTGAGCACACACACGAAGTCGTTATAACGAGGACGTCTCGCAATGGTGGATATCTCTTCGGACAGATTTCTAACGAGCTCTCATTAAAATGACGCGCAAAAC